TGGGGCCTGGGCTTCCACCTGTGCCGCTGGGGCTACTCCTCCACGGACATCACCCGGCAGGTGGTGGCCAACATGACAGCAGCTCGCTTCCCCCTGGTGCGTCTGGGCTGCTCCTGGGGCTGTGGGGGCCTGGGGGGCGTCCTGGGTGCCACAGCAGCATGAGAGGTCCCTGCTCCAGCCCCAGCCACGGTGCCTCCATCCACAGGATGTGCAGTGGAACGACCTGGATTACGCAGATGCCAAGAGGGATTTCACCTTCAACAAGAAAAGCTTCAGGGACTACCCAGAGATGGTGCGGGACTTCCACAGCCGCGGGCTGAGGTACATCATGATCGTGGTGAGTTGCACAGGCAGGCTGGCGCAGCTTCAGCTGCCCCAGGGTGGTGATGAGGGCAGGGCTGGCTGTTCCCTGCTGTTGCCCTGGCTTTGTGCCCTTCCAGGACGCTGGGATCAGCAGCTCGGGGCCCCCTGGCACCTACAAGCCCTACGACGAGGGCCTGAGGCGAGGGGTGTTCATCAGAAACGCCACGGGGCAGCCCCTGGTCGGGAAGGTGCGTGTGGGGAGCAGCCCCTGTGCCCACGGACAGGGCTTGAGTGGCTGCAGGACCCCCAGAGTGAGGGGGAAGCTTTTGGGGGGCCGTGGTGGAAGGTGGGGGCTCTGTCCGACGCTCTCCCTCCTGCAGGTCTGGCCAGGCCCCACGGTGTTCCCAGACTTCACCAACCCAGAGACTCACGAGTGGTGGCACGACATGGTGAAGGACTTCCACGAACAAGTGCCCTTCGATGGCATGTGGCTTGTGAGTGGCCCTGTGCAGCTGCTGGCCCTGGCTCCTGCCCTGCACTCTGCTGGCACCAGGGCCATCCTGTCCTTTCCTTCCCTCCCAGGACATGAACGAGCCGTCCAACTTTGTGGAGGGCTCCCAGGATGGCTGCCCCAACAACAACCTGGAGCATCCCCCCTACATGCCAGGTACAGGAGTGGGTTCCACCCTGCCCAGGGCTCTGGGGAAGCCGGGAGGAGCCCGGGGATGCTCTGAGCTCCACCTCTCCCCTGCAGGTGTGTTCGGGGGCCGCCTGCAGGCCGGGACCATCTGTGCCTCCAGCCAGCAGTACCTGTCCTCTCACTACAACCTGCACAGCCTGTACGGGCTGACCGAGGCCATCGCCTCCCACAAGTGAGCCTGGGGCTCCTGCCACAGCTCCCGCACACGCTGGGGTGCAGAGCTGGGAGAGACCCAGCGTGGGCAGTGTGGGTGCTGGGTGAGGGCTTGGTGTGGAGCACAGGGCCCTGTGGGAGCCCTGTGGGAGCCCTGTGGGAGCCCTGTGGGAGCTGGGGGTGCTGAGCAGACCCCTCTGCTCCCAGTGCTCTGCTGAGGGTGCGGGGCAAGCGTCCCTTCGTCATCTCCCGCTCCACCTTCGCCGGGCACGGCCGCTTCGCCGGGCACTGGACAGGGGATGTGGGCAGCGACTGGCAGCAGCTCTACTACTCCATACCAGGTATGTGGATGTACCTGTGGGCACCGGGCCTGCACCCACAGCCCTGCTCCCCCTTGCCCCCACAGCCAGGGCCGTCTCCACAGGCTCCGTGCCCGGCTGCTGCAGAGCCCTGGTGCCCTCTGTGCCCTCTGCAGAGGTGCTGCTCTTCAACCTCTTCGGGGTGCCCCTGGTGGGTGCCGACATCTGCGGCTTCCTGGGCGACACCAGTGAGGAGCTGTGCGTGCGCTGGACCCAGCTGGGAGCCTTCTACCCCTTCATGAGGAACCACAACGACCACGGCACCCGGGTGAGCCCTGGCAGCCCCCACCTGCCGGGCAGGGGGCTCTGGGCCCAGCCGGGGCTGCCCTGCCAGCGTGGGAAGGTGGCTGCTTCAGCTGCAGGGCTGTGTGCCCCCACGGCTGGGAGAGTCCATTCTGCATCCCTGAAATGTGCCCTGCCTTCCTCCCCACGTGGGCTGAGCATCCCCTGGGGCCGTTCCCCTCCCGCAGCCGCAGGAGCCCTTTGCCTTCAGCCCGCCCGCTCAGGCTGCCATGAGGAACGCCCTGCGCCTCCGTTACTCCCTGCTGCCCTTCCTCTACACGCTGTTCCACCGGGCCCACAGCGCTGGGCAGACCGTGGCACGGCCCCTGTTCCTCGAGTGAGTGCCAGCCCCGCCGGGGCTCACCGGGAGTGCCTGCAGGGTGTCCTGGTGCTGCCCTCCCTCCCCTCCTTCCCCAGGTTCCCCACAGACCCCAACACGTGGACCGTGGACCGCCAGCTCCTGTGGGGCGGGGGGCTGCTCATCACCCCCGTGCTGGAGGCAGGACAGACCAAAGTCAGCGGCTACTTCCCAGCAGGGACGTGGTACAGCCTCACAGGGGTGGGTGCTCCTGCTTTGCTGTGGCACCTCGTGCCCATTCCTGCACCCTACCGGCCCCCCGGGGCTGTCTGTGGGTCTGGTGTCTCACCTGCCTTTCCTGGTGGCCATTTGAGGACTCTGGCACTGGGGCACCTTGTGCCTGCTCTTCCCTCCCTTTGTCCCCATGTAGGACTCCACCATCCACAGCAAAGGGCAGTGGATCCTCCTGCCAGCGCCCCTGGACACCATCAACGTCCACGTCCGTGCAGGGCACATCCTGCCCCTGCAGGTGAGTCCCCTCTGGCCCGTGGTGACACCACAGTGACCTGTCTGAGCACCTGGGGGGGTGGCAGTGCCCACACCAGGACAGTGCCAGTGGCTGCAGGGCTGGGGGCACAGCTGTGGCAGTGCCCTGAGCTGTGCCTGCCCTGTGCCCCAGGAACCTGCCCTCAGCACTGCCCAGTCCCGTGGGAAGGGCATGGCCCTGCTGGTGGCGCTGACCCCAGATGGCTTCGCCAGGGGAGAGCTGTTCTGGGACGATGGGGACAGCTGGGAGAGCTTTGAGAGGGGCGACTACACCGAGCTCCTCTTCCTGGCCTCCAGCGTGAGCACGGGGAGCTGCTGGCAGGGGCTGGCCAGGGCTCCTGGTGGCCCTGGCACACCTGTGTCTGCTCTGTGGGCAGCAGAGGGGCAGGAGGTGTGGTGGGGCACCTGGAGGAGCCCTGGTGGGTGCACGAGGGGTGGCTGGGAGCACTGGGTGCCATCCCTGTGTGCCCTGGTGGGTGCATGAGGGGTGGCTGGGAGCACAGGGTGCCATCCCCATGTGCCCAGGATGCACGAGGGGTGGCTGGGAGCACTGGGTGCCATCCCTGTGTGCCCAGGATGCATGAGGGGTGGCTGGGAGCACAGGGTGCCATCCCTGTGTGCCCTGGTGGGTGCATGAGGGGTGGCTGGGAGCACAGGGTGCCATCCCTGTGTGCCCTGGTGGGTGCACGAGGGGTGGCTGGGAGCACAGGGTGCCATCCCTGTGTGCCCAGGATGTGTGAGGGGTGGCTGGGAGCACAGGGTGCCATCCCTGTGTGCCCTGCATGCACGAGGGGTGGCTGGGAGCACTGGGTGCCATCCCCGTGTGCCCTGGTGGGTGCATGAGGGGTGGCTGGGAGCACAGGGTGCCATCCCTGTGTGCCCTGCATGCACGAGGGGTGGCTGGGAGCACAGGGTGCCCTCCCTGTGTGCCCTGCATGCACGAGGGGTGGCTGGGAGCACAGGGTGCCCTCCCTGTGTGCCCTGCATGCACGAGGGGTGGCTGGGAGCACAGGGTGCCATCCCTGTGTGCCCAGGATGCCGTGCTCAGCCAGCTGCTGCGGGCCAGTGCCCACCTGGATGGGGTCCTGCTGGAGGCTGTCACCGTGCTGGGGGTCACCAGCCCTCCCCAGCAAGTCCTGGCCAACGGTGCCATCGTCAGGGACTTCTCCTACCGCAGTGACACCCAGGTGAGTGCTGACTCCCAGCCTGGGCAGGGCTGGTGGCCAGGAAGGGACCTGGAGTGCAGCTGTGGGGTCTGGCCCCAGTGATGGCACAGCCTGGGCCATGGGTGCCCTTCCTGGGGCATCTGTGGGGCCAGGACAGTGCCAGGCTGTGGCTCTGTGAGGGGCAGGATTCCCTGACACCCCTGGCTGGCTCTCACCTTCCTTCTCCCCTCAGGTGCTGAGAGTCCCTGTGTCGCTGCCCATGTGGGAGCAGTTTGTGATCTCCTGGTCCTGACCAGCGTGGGTCACAGGGAGAGCCTGTGCTGCTCCCCTGGAATCCGAGGCCAAATCCATCCCATCCCCTGTACCCTGAGCTGTCCCTGCTCTTCCCACACTCCTGGGCTTGTTCTCCCTCTGGCTGATGGAGGGGTGTGCACTGGACTGGCAGAGGGAGGGGGGCCTTGCACAGCCCCCAGGGACAGGGAAAACCTCACCATCATCAAATTGGGAAAAAAGACCCAAGTGCCTTGTGAGACAGCAAACCAGTTACTCTGGGGGACTGGTAACTGGGGCACAGAGTGCAGGGAGTTTGCTGGCTGTGGTTTTGGGGAGGAGGACGTGCAGGGGCTGAGGGAGCAGTGCTGTGAATAAAGCTGCTGTTTGCTGGGAGCAGCCCCAAGCCGTGTCCTTGTCCCCTCTCCTGGTCCTGAATATCCCCAGCCCCCTGTCCCCAGCTGGGACACCCCAGCTCTGTCCCTGCCTGGAGGTCTCCAGTGGGACCCCCTGTGCCCCTTGAGGGCTTTCCCCATTTCCCAGAGCGCTGGGGGTCCCCAGCTATTCCTGCAGCCCTGGCTGTGCCACAGAGGCTCTTGGCCTGTCCTGCTGCCTCTAAACCGGGGGCTGCTGCAGGGGCGTGCTCAGTTCCAGGTGAAAATGGATCCTTATCCTCCAGAGGCTTTATTGAGGGGCAGCTTGGCCCTTTGGCTCCCCTGGCTGAGACCCAAGGCACCAGGAATCCTCAGTGCTGTGGGGCCAGGCGGTGTTGGCAGCAGAGGGCAGAGCCTCGCGGTGTCACCCAGGATTGGGGACCAGCCCATCGTGCCCCATGGGAACACAGCACTGTGTGGGCACAGGTGGGGTCTGAGCCCCACAGCAGTCGGGGCACAGGTGGGGTTGGAGCCCCACAGCCCTGTGGGGGCACAGGTGGGGTCTGAGCCCCATGGGAGCACTATGGGGGCACAGGTGGGGTCTGAGCCCCATGGGAACACAGCACTGTGGGGGCACAGGTGTTGTCCCTGCCCCACGGGAGCACGGCCCTGTGTGGGCACAGGTGCCCCTCACAGCTCGTTGTGCAGCGGCTGGCAGCGGGGGCTCAGTTTCTCCTCCAGCACAGCGTCGGGGGCGCACACCCAGGGGTCGCCGGTGTCCCACTGCCAGCCCAGCAGCTGTGCCCTCAGCAGCTGCAGCACGGCGCCGTAGCGCGGCTCGGGGGCCAGGTTGTGGCTCTCGGCAGGGTCCCGGCTGCAGTCGAACAGCTCCCAGCGGGGGCGGTAGTAGTACTGCTGCAGGCTCCTGTTCCAGTGCGTGGGCTGCCCCGCCCGCGTGCGCTGCAGCACGTCCTGGAAGGTGGGCGACACGTACAGGTCCTGGTCGATGGGGAAGGGCATCTTGTAGTTGAGGTTGTGGACGAGGCGGAACTGGCGGTGCTGCACGGCTCGCATGGGGTAGTACATGGTCACCTCGTGCTGGCTCTGGCTCATGAAGGCGGTGGCCCAGGGCTGCTCTGACTCCAGGGCGGGCAGGAGAGACTTTCCAGTGAGCCGCACCTGCCTCTTGCCAAAGATGCTGTAAGCAGGGTAGGGGATGGAGAACCAGTCCAGAATGGTCGGCGTCAGGTCTGCAGGGGAGGAAAAGGGTGAGAGCAGGGACGGGCACCGTGGGAGGAAACTCAAGCCCCAGAAGGGGCAGAAAGGTCCCTGGGGATGGTGTCCCTGCAGGGGACCCTGTTCTGTCCTCCCCCTCTCCCTTCCCTGCACTGGCCCTGCCAATGCTGAGGGCTCGGGGCTGCTCCCAGCGCCAGGACCCCGAGATTTGGTGCAGGGAGGGTGGGGAGCAGCCCACAGCCCCAGGCACAGCTCTTACCCAGGAGGGAGGCGAAGGCCGGGCTGACCTGCCCCCAGCGCTGCGGGTGCTCAGGGGAGGAGAGCAGCAGCGGCTGGGCGGTGCCCGAGCGGTACAGGTTGGTCCTGCCCCCGGGGAAGGGGATGCCGTTGTCGGAGGTGTAGATCACCAGGGTGCTGTTGAGGAAACCGGCGCGGCGCAGCTCCTGCAGGACCAGCCCGATCCCTGTGAGAGCAGGGACAGAGCTCAGGGGGCGGGGAGGGGCTCAGAGCTCAGCCCCAGGCTGGCCACAGCTCCCACCTTGGTCCATGCGCCCGATGGTCGTGTACTGGGCAGCCAGGTCCTCCCGGGCAGCCGGCGTGTCCGGGACAAAGGGAGGGACCTAAACAGACACAGGGCAAGGGGCACGTGGCTGACACAGGCCCCCGTGCCTACACCAGCTCTTGCTGTGACACTGGGGACAGTGACAGGGTGAGGCCAGCCCTGGCTCCATCAGAGGATGCCACCATGTGCAGCCCCACACTCACCTGCACCTGCTCCGGGTGGTAAATCTGTGGCTTCCAGTCAGGGATCCAGCCCATCCCGCTCTGTCCATTGCCGAATTTCTCACAAAAGGGCCCATACTGGGGCTGGGAGTGCCCGCAGCGGTGAGGGTCGTGGAAGGCAACATAGAGGAAGAAAGGCCTAGGGATGGAAAGGGGGGGTGTGGAGGTGGTGAAGCAAAGGGGTGCCCAGAGACCTCCCTGGGCTGTGCCACGGCGAGCTGGGGTCAGCGGGACTCCCCCACCTAATCTGGATATGGGGGGACCCTGTCTGTGACCAGCTGGGCCATGGGGACACATCTTCAGTGCAGCCCTTCCCAGGACAAGGGGGCAGCCTCACCTCTCGTCCTGGCTCTGCAGGAAGCGCCGGACGAGCTCCTTGATCCGGGTGATGTTTCTCCCCACCTGCAGGACCGAGCTGTTCTCCTCAGTGTAGGCAAAGTCAAAGGGGTACACGGCCCCTGGCCCCACGTGCTTCTTCCCAATTATCCCTGTGAGAATGCAGACAGCTGCTGTGCCAGGAGCAGTGCAGGGAGGATGTGCTGTCCCCTCTCTGCAGGGACGGCCAGAGGTCCAGGGAGCTCTGTCAGTGGGGTTTGGTTTGGTGCTCCCTGCCTGTCCCAGCTCCTGTCCCAGCTCCTGTCTCAGCTCCTGTCCCGGTTCTCTGCCTGTCCCAGCTCCTGTCCCAGCTCCTGTCCCAGCTCCCTGCCTGTCCCAGCTCCTGTCCCAGCTCCTGTCCCAGCTCCCTGCCTGTCCCAGCTCCTGTCCCAGCTCCTGTCCCAGCTCCTGCCTGTCCCAGCTCCTTCAGCTCCTACCTGTCCGGACGCCAGCGTGGCTGAGCAGCTGGGGCAGGCTCCTCACGCCATCGAAGGAGTTGAAGTGATGCACGTCCTGGTGCAGCCCGTACATCCCGTTCTGGTGCTGTGGGGACACGGCACGGTCAGACCAGGGCTGCCAGCCCAGCCCTGAAACCCGTGCAGCCGTGCCCGTGACTCCTGCTGTGGGCTGGCAGCCCCGGCCTGGTGCCGCCCGCGGGTGCCCCTACCTGGGGTAAGCCGGTCAGGATGCTGGCCCGGCTCGGGGAGCAGCTGCTCACGGAGGTGAAGGCGTTCTGGAACACCAAACCACGCCGGGCCAGCGCGTCCAGGTTGGGCGTGTGGATGGCCGAGTTGTTGTAGGCGCCGCTTTCGAAGCCGCCGTCATCGGCTGCAGACGGGAGCGGGGTGAGCCCGGGGGTGTCCCTGAGCTCAGCCCGGGGTGTCCCTGAGCTCAGCCCGGGGGTGTCCCTGGGGTCAGCCCGGGGGTGTCCCTGATGTCAACCCGGGGGTGTCCCTGGGGTCAGCCCGGGGGTGTCCCTGATGTCAGCCCGGGGGTGTCCCTGGGGTCAGCCCGGGGGTGTCCCTAAGGCCAGCCCGGGGTGTCCCTGACCGGGCTCGAGGGACACTGATGACACCGGGAGCATCCCCGGGCTGCGGGTGCCCCGGCCGGTGCTGCGGAGGGGATGCAGCGGAGCCCGGGACCGTCCCTCCCTCCCGTCCCCGGGATGCCCCCAGCGCCCAGCCCGGGGCAGGGGGGTCCGGGCCGGTTCCGGGGCCGGGCCGCACTCACCCAGGAGCAGCAGCACATTGCGGGCCGGGGCCGCGGCTCCGCTGGGCGGGAGCGCGCCCAGCAGCAGCAGCAGCAGCGCCCAGGGCCGCATGGTACCGGTACCGGTACCGGCAGCAGCACCAGCACCAGCAGCGGGGCTCGGCGGCTCCTCCGGCCGCCCCGGCTCCTCCTCACCCCGGTCACATGAGGCGTCCCGGCCGCTCAGATCCGGGGCGGGCGGAGCCGCGGGCTGTGCCGGGCTGGCACCGGCGGCTCCGCGGAGTCCCGCACCGCCCCCGGTACCGACCGCGGCTCCGCGGAGTCCCGCTCCTCCCCGGTACCGGCCCGCGGGGGTCCCGCTCCGCCCCGGTACCGAACACGGGGCTCCCGCTCCTCCCCGGTACCGACCGCGGGGCTCCCGCTCCTCCCCGGTACCGACCGCGGCTCCGCGAGGGTCCCGCTCCTCCCCGGTACCGACCGCGGGGCTCCCGCTCCTCCCCGGTACCGGCCCGCGGGGGTCCCGCTCCGCCCCGGTACCGAACACGGGGCTCCCGCTCCTCCCCGGTACCGGCCCGCGGGGGTCCGGGCCATGCCCGGGTGCCGGTGCCCGCGCCCGGCGCTGCCGGTGCTGCGCTGGCTGCCGCGGTACTCGCGGGCCTGGCTGCCGCTGGACGCGCTGGCCGGGCTGGCCGTGGGGCTGACCGCCGTGCCCCAGGCGCTGGCCTACGCCGAGCTGGCCGGGCTGCCGCTGCAGGTGCGTACCGGGCCAGCACCGGGACCCGCGGAGCTCCGGCCGGGGTGAGCCGGGACGTGTCCGGCCTCTCCCGGCTCCCAGGGCTGTGCCAGTGCCCCTTCTGTCCCCCTGCAGTACGGCCTCTATTCCTCCTTCATGGGCTGCTTCGTGTACTGCCTCCTGGGCACGGCCAAGGACGTGACGCTGGGGCCCACGGCCATCATGTCCCTGCTGGTCTCCTCGTACGCCTTCCAGCAGCCCGCCTATGCCGTCCTGCTCGCCTTCCTGTGCGGCTGCATTCAGCTGGCCATGGGGCTCCTGCGCCTCGGTGAGATGCCCTTGCCGTGCACTGATGTGTTTAGGATGTTGCTGCACAGCCTGGAGTCGTCCCTTCCTCCTCTCTGCTCTCTGGGACACTGGCACTGTCCTGCTGTCCCGCTGGGGTCCGGAGCGTGCTCACTGCCTCCCATCCCATGCAGGATTCCTTCTGGATTTCATTTCCTGCCCGGTCATTAAGGGGTTTACATCAGCTGCTTCCATCACCATCAGCTTCAACCAGGTCAAGGTAGGACGTGCCCTGTCCTGGCTGCCTCTGCAGCTCTCTCCTGGTGCTGTGCAGCCGGGATATTCAGCACCGGGCTGGGCCGTGGGCTTGGTGCTGGGGGAAGGAGCCCCACAGGGGTCCCGGGACCCCCTGCCCGTGGTTCTGCTGGGTCCCTGAGCGCCCTGCTCGGAGCAGACCGAGCTGAACACCTCTGCTGGTGACCAGCTGGTGGCATCCAGGACACCAGTAAAACCAGGGCATGGGACTGGTCACCCGCAGGAGGCACTGGGGATTCTCTGGCACGGTGGGTTCGCAAATTGGGAAGCTGGGGGTGGTTTGCAGCGCCGGGAGCCCCTCGCTGGCCTCGCAGGGACCCGAGGCTCTGCTGGGCTCCCACACTTCCCTTGTGGTTAACCCAAATCAGAGCCTCTGGCAGCAGCTCCAGGCCGGTGTTGGCTAATGGCTGCGGTCACGGGGCTGGGCTGGGCTGGGCTGGGCTGGGCTCTCAGCAGCTTTGTCTGCCTGCACAGAACATCCTGGGCCTGCAGGGCATCCCGAGGCAGTTCTTCCTGCAGGTCTACGAGACACTGAGGAGGATTGGGGAGACCAGGTCAGCACCGCCTGCCCTGCTCCCCGTCCCTGGGGTCACAGCTGGGGCTGATTTCTCGGCTGTGACACAAACGCCCTGCCCTGGCCTCTGTGGGAGCTCTCAGGGCGTGCTTGGGGTGGCACTGATGTGCCTCTTGCAGGGCTGGGGACGCTGTGCTGGGGCTGAGCTGCCTGGCAGCGCTGGCAGGGCTGCGGGCCATGAAGAGCCACCTGGCCCAGGCTGTGCCCACAGCGCCGCTGGCTGTCAGGATCAGCCACCTGATTGTGTGGATCTGTGCCACAGGTGTGTCAGCTGTCCCTGCCCCTCCCGGGCTCATCTCTTGGGGTCAGGGAAGGCAGAGCCTGAAATTGGGAAAGGCACGGCTGGCAGGGGCCAAGAGCTGGAGGTGGGGCAGGGAGGACAAGTCCCCAGGCTCCTGTCCCTGTGTCCCTTCCTAGGGCTGGGCAGTGCCCAGCAGCTCAGGGACCATCTCCTGTCCCCTTCCTAGGGCTGGGCAGTGCCCAGCAGCTCAGGGACCATCTCCTGTCCCCTTCCTAGGGCTGGGCAGTGCCCGGCAGCTCAGGGACCATCTCCTGTCCCCTTCCTAAGGCTGGGCAGTGCCCAGCAGCTCGGGTACCATCTCCTGTCCCCTTCCTAGGGCTGGGCAGTGCCCAGGAGGAGCTCAGGGACCATCTCCTGTCCCCTTCCTAGGGCTGGGCAGTGCCCAGCAGCTCAGGGACCATCTCCTGTCCCCTTCCTAGGGCTGGGCAGTGCCCAGCAGCTCAGGGACCATCTCCTGTCCCCTTCCTAGGGCTGGGCAGTGCCCAGGAGCTCGGGTACCATCTCCTGTCCCCTTCCTAGGGCTGGGCAGTGCCCAGGAGGAGCTCAGGGACCATCTCCTGTCCCCTTCCTAGGGCTGGGCAGTGCCCAGCAGCTCAGGGACCATCTCCTGTCCCCTTCCTAGGGCTGGGCAGTGCCCAGGAGGAGCTCAGGGACCATCTCCTGTCCCCTTCCTAGGGCTGGGCAGTGCCCAGCAGCTCAGGGACCATCTCCTGTCCCCTTCCTAAGGCTGGGCAGTGCCCAGCACCTCAGGGACCATCTCCTGCCCCCTTCCTAGGGCTGGGCAGTGCCCAGCAGCTCGGGGACCATCTCCTGTCCCCTTCCTAAGGCTGGGCAGTGCCCAGCAGCTCGGGGACCATCTCCTGTCCCCTCCTGCTGCCCTGGGCTCGGGCAGGGCTCACGGCTGCTCTCTCCACTTTGGCAGCACGCAATGCCCTCGTGGTCCTGTCTGCTGGGCTGGTGGCTTACTCCTTCCAGGTGATGGGCTGCCAGCCCTTCAGGCTCACGGGCAGCATCCCCCAGGGCCTGCCAGCCTTCCAGCCACCACGCTTCTCCCTGGCAGTGCCCAATGGCACCGTCCCCTTCCCCAGCATGGTGCAGGTGGGTGCTGCCACTCCCCGGGGGCTGCCCTGCTCCCTGCTGCCTGTGCAGGCTCCCAGCCCCCCTGACCCTCCCTGGATCCCTCCCTGATCCCCCCTGGATCCTCCCTCCAGGACATGGGGGCCGGGCTGGCCGTGGTGCCGCTCATGGGGCTGCTGGAGAGCGTCGCCATCGCCAAGGCTTTCGGTAGGGCTGTGCCAGGGCCCTGCCCTGTGCTCCCAGGGGGGCTCTGCGGGGCTGGGGGTGCTGGGGAGGGCTCTCTGCAGGGCTGGGGGTGCTGGGGAAGGTGCTGTTCCTTTTGGGGCACTGGGCTCCAGTTCATAGCATGGGCTGGCAGGAGGGGTCCTTGGGGTGCCCAGCTGAAATTTGCCCAGGAGGTGAGCGTTGTCTCGGGCTGCTCCTGTGCCCAAGGGTGCCAGGACAGGGCCCTCACTGTCCCATCACTGCTGGCTCTGCTCCATGTGGGTGGCAGGTCCCTATGGGAGCCTCAGGCCAACGCCAGCATCTCCTTTCAGCCTCGCAGAATGGTTACAGGATTGACCCCAACCAGGAGCTGCTGGCTCTGGGTAAGAGCTGCTTGCTCAGGAGGGCAGGGGTGGGACCGGGTGTCCCACAGCCCCTGGGCTGCCTGAGATCCCCATCTGGCCAGTCCTGCCTCCACCTGAGCTTCTCCCTTCCTTCACCTGAGCTTCTCCCTTCCTTACCTCGCATGCTGTCCCCACCCCGGGCGTTCTCTCAGCTCAGGAATTTCCAGAGCAGGCTGAGTCACTCCTGCCGGGTCATGGAGGGGACACAGACACAGCAGTGCCCCTTTCCTGGGGACACAGACACAGCAGTGCCCCCCAGCCCCTTTCCTGGGGACACAGACACAGCAGTGCCCCCCAGCCCCTTTCCTGGGGACACAGACACAGCAGTGCCCCCCAGCCCCTCTCCTTTGTCCCCCCAGGTGCTGCCAACGTCCTGGGCTCCTTTGTCTCCTCGTACCCCATCACGGGCAGCTTTGGCCGGTGAGTAGCAGGGTGGGGAGCAGGGCACTCGCTGGGGCTGCTGGTGAGGGAGCTCTGCAAGGTCCTGAGTGGCAGATGTGCTGTGCCCTGAGCTCGTGTCCTGGTCCCCAGCAGCCCACCCTGGTGGCTGGGCTATGCCTGTGTCCAGTGGCCACCTTCCCTTCCTCGAGGGCCACCTCCCTTCCTGCTGAGCAGTGCTGGGAGGCCGGGGCTTGCTGGTGCTCCTCCCTGCCAGGGTGGGGTGTGGGCAGTGGGCAGGAGCAGTGCCCAGCCCTGCCCAGCCTGGCACGGTGCGTTTGTGTTTCAGGACAGCAGTGAATGCCCAGTCAGGGGTCTGCACCCCCGCGGGAGGGCTCGTCACAGGTACAGCTCTGCCCTGGGCGCTGGGGACCCTTGGGTGCTGGGGACCCTTGGGTGCTGGGGACCCTTGGGTGTGGGGTTCCCTGGGTGTGGGATACCCCTGGGTGTGGGATACCCCTGGGTGTTGGGTACCCCTGGGTGTGGGATACCCCTGGGTGTGGGATACCCCTGGGTGTTGGGTACCCCTGGGTGTTGGGTACCCCTGGGTGTGGGATACCCCTGGATGTGGGGTGTCCCTGGTGCTGGGTACCCCTGGGTGTTGGGTTCCCCTGGTTGCCAGGTGCCCGTGGCTCAGGGTTCCTCTCCCGCAGGTGCCCTGGTCCTGCTGTCCCTGGCATACCTGACCTCTCTGTTCTATTACATCCCCAAAGCAGCTCTGGCTGCTGTCATCATCTCGGCCGTGGTGCCCATGTTCGACGCTGGCATCTTCGGGACGCTCTGGCGGGTTAAGAGTGAGGGCAATGCCCCAGTGCAGCCATGAGGAGCCACTCTGGCAGTCACACCCACCCCCTGAGCTGGGACTGAGCCCCTGCAGGGCTGCCCCTGCCCCTCTCACACACAGCAGGGCTCCTCTCCAGCTCTACCCCACGTTTCCCATAGCAGTCTCAGACACGCAGATCCTTAAAATAATTTAATCCTGGGGCCATAGCTAAATAACAGAATGACAGCTCGAGTTTCTCAGGAGGCATCCAGAACAAAGGAGCCTGAAAGCTTTTTTCCTTTTATCCCCTCACAAACATTGCAAAGTCTGGGGGTGGTCTCTGAGTGGAACATCACCATCTCTGAGTGTCCCATCACTGTCTCTGAGTGTCCCATCATGGTCTCTGAGTGTCCCATCACTGTCTCTGAGTGTCCCATCACCATCTCTGAGTGTCCCATCATGGTCTCTGAGTGTCCCATCACTCTCAAGTGCCCACCGTGTGGCTGCCCAGGGTTCCTGGCTCCTTTGTCATGCAGAGGGGACAGTTCACAGCCCCTCCCCAGGGCTCCCACCCCGAGCTCCACCGAAGCTGCCACCTGTGTGTAATGCAGAGCTGGCGCTGTCACCGAGTGCTCTGTGGCCCCAGGACCAGCCACACCCAGCCTGGCTTCTCTCCCTTGCAGGGCTGGACCTCGTGCCCCTCTGTGTGACCTTCCTGCTCTGCTTCTGGGAGGTGCAGTATGGAATCGTGGCTGGGGTGCTGGTGTCTGGCCTTCTCCTGCTCTACTCCATTGCCAGGCCCCCGATAAAGGTGAGCTTCTCCCCTGTCCCTGTGTTGGTTTTTCCAGCTTTTCACAGACAGGGCAACTGAGAGGCTTTTTAAAGGATTTTATTCCATTATCAGTCCCGATGAAGGGTGAGACATAAGAGATGTAAAACTCAGTGCCATTCCATCAGAAGCCAGCCTGTTTCCTGGGTACAATCCCTTATAAATGTTTTCCAGCCTATTAGCTTTTGCCACACAATGCTGCTAATACTTCTGACACCAACCACTTATATTTTTACCCCATGTAATGCTACAATGCATCTCTCACAGTTCTAATTCTCTAAAATATCAGGTCTTTTTGCAAGGCCATCATTTGAAATTTGTTTCTAATTCAATCTCTCTCTCAACAATGTCATCTCTATTCCATGGCCTTCCTAAGCCAGCAGACCTTATCTCAGAGTTTGCATACACTTGTACAGGAGTGTGTGAGCTTTCTGTCAGGTTTTGAGAATTCTGACAAATCCATTTCTCACACGCTTGGACGTGGCAGGGCCAGGGAGCTGGGAGGGAGCTCCTGAGGGCGGGGAGGTGCTGGGTGCAGGATGCTCCTGACCTGTTCTTGCTGTCCCCAGTCTGCCCCGGGCACAGCACAGGGAGCCCTTTAAAAGAGCAGGAGGAGGGGGAAATCCTCAGACTGGAGAGCAGGAGAGGGAGGCATCACTGCCCTGCCCTGCTGGCACTGGGCTGAGTGCAGGAGGGGTTCCCTGAGGGATGGGGGCTCCTGCTCCTCCCACTCCACCCAGGAGGGCAGGGAGTGACACGGGAGCTGTCCCTGCCTGGGGAGGTGACAGCCCTGAGCCCCTGTGGCTGTCCCTGCACAGCCCTGAGCCCTGTGGCTGTCCCTGCACAGCCCTGAGCCCCTGTGCCTGTGTCCCTGCACAGCCCTGAGCCCCTGTGGCTGGGGAGGTGACAGCCCTGAGCCCCTGTGGCTGTGTCCCTGCACAGCCCTGAGCCCCTGTGGCTGTCCCTGCCCAGGGAGGTGACAGCCCTGAGCCCCTGTGCCTGTGTCCCCCCACAGGTGTCAGAGGGGGCCATGCTGCTGGTGCAGCTGGGGAGCAGCCTGCACTTCCCAGCCGTGGAGCACCTCAGGGCCTCGGTGTGCAGCCGTGCTCTGGCAGGTACAGTGCTGCTGGCCCGTCCTGGGGACACGGCTGTCACCTCCTGCATCACTGCCGTGGGTGGCAGGTGCTGCCCAGACCCAGGACTGCGTGCCCCGCCCTGCCAGCCCTGCCCTGGCTCTGAGGGCTGGGACCCCTGGGCTGCTCATTGCTGCACGTGTGGGACATGACCTTGTGCTCTCCCAGCAGCATCTCCAGCTCGCTCTGTGCTGCTGGACTGCAGCCACGTCAGCAGCATCGATTACACGGCGCTGCTGGGGCTGGCAGAGCTGCTGCAGGAGCTGCACAGGCACGGCCTCTCGCTGGCCTTCTGTGGCCTGCAGGTGTGTGGGACCTTGGCCATGCTGTGAGTGGGGCTGATGGGCTCAGCCCAGCTGCCCTCCCTGGGCTCTGTGCTGGCCTCTCCTTTGGTAGCACCGTCACCATCCCGAGCACCTTCATCTCCCACAGCTGGGGCTGGGGGTGCTGGCATGGGCTGGGGGCTCCTGCTGGCATGGCTGGGGGTGCTGGCATGGCTGGGTGCCCATGCTGGGAAGGGCTGGGTGCCCGTTCTGGGATGGCTGGGGGTGCTGGGAAGGGCTGGGTGCCCATTCTGGGATGGCTGGGGGTACTGGGAAGCACTGGGGGCTCTGCCCCAGGCCAGCACTCCCCAGCCCAAGTTTCTCTGCCCTCAGGACCCCGTTCTCCAAGTCCTCCTGTCTGCAGACTTAGAAGGATTCCAGCATTTCCCCAGCAGGGAGGAGGCAGGTGAGGCTCTGGCTGCTCTCCCAGGATGGGGTGAGTGTGGCTCTGGAGGACACCCATGGGGATTTGACCTGTCCAGCTGCAGAGCAGCACAGTGGGGGCTGCAGGGGCTCCTGGGAGGGTGAGCTGGAGCCCGTCCCAAGAATTGGGTGTCCCCAGCCTTGGGGATTCATGGTGAGCTCCTGTGGTTCAAGCCAGCAGCAGCTCAGCACCACAGAGCCCTTCACTCCCCCTGCAGAAGGGTAGGACAGGATCAGAGAAAAGGTAAAAACTCTTGGGCTGAGATGAAGGCAGCTTAACAGGACAGAAAAGAAAAGGAAAATTACAATAACCATAATGGAATACCCAGACCAAGTGATGCACAGCGTGCTTGCTCACCACCCTCTGAGCCTTGCCCAGCCAGCCCCTGAGCAGTGGCACTCACCCCTCGGCCAGATCCCCCCTGTGCCTCCTCCAGCACCGTGCCCTGTGCTCTGCAGCATCCCTCTGGGCACCGGGGCAGCTCCCCTGGCTCTGCCCTGCCAGCTCCTCCCTGCCCGGGCAGCCTGGGAACCCGAGGAGTCCTTGGCTTAGTGCAAGCACTGCTCAGCAGCAGCTGAGCCATCGGGCTGTTATCAACAGGAGCCTCATCCTGAACCCAAACACAGCTCTGAAACAGCTCCTGGGGAGAAAATTCCCTCTGTGCTAGGCAGAGCCAGGACGTGAGCCCTGCCCTGACTGTGCCTCCCCTGTGCTGTCCCAGAGCGGAGCTGGGGGGCAGCAGGGCAGAGCCCCTCACCAGCACTGCCGAGAGCACCGGGCTCATCCAGTGACACCAGTTTGGGCTGAACGTCCTGTGCCACCCCAGTGCCACCAGCAGCGTCCCTGGGAGCCAGCTGCCCCTGCTGGGCACGGGAGGGACTGTCCCCGTGTCCCACGGCGAGATGGACAGAGCAGCACCAGCCCAGCCCCACTCGGGCTGTGGCACAAAACCGTTCTCTGTCACAGTGACCAGTGCCAAGCCATCCTTCCTCCAGGGAGCTGCTGACATTTTTTAAATGACTCTTTTAATTGTGGACCTTTTCCATGTTCTGGGCCGCTCCAGTGGTGACGCAGGGGGGGCTCTCAAAGCTTTCAGGGCTGCTGTGCTGCCCTCCAAGTGGACATGGGGCTCAGCCTCCAGCTCTGGGAAAGGGAAAACATCTGGGATTGTGCTCCTTACTGATTTTTATCCTTCCTTACCTTTTTTAATCCTTATCTTATCTGTGGGGTGTTGTGCCAAGCACTGCCCTGGGTCAAGGCTGGGCTCCCCCTGGGGTGCAGCCCCTGGCCTGGGCCCTGCCGAGGGGACAGGCACGGTGACACCAGGCTGTGTGATGGGGACAGCACCTGCTGGGGCTGGGCAGGGTCACCAGGGGCTGGGCAGGGCTGGGAATTCAGTTCCCCTGAACAGCCCTCGGGACATCGAGGGTGTAATAAATCAGAAACTGCTAATGAGTCAGTGTGATCTCTGCCTTCCTGAGGGAAAGCTTTTTCCTTTTGTGTGGGAAGGGGAGTTATCTTCTGGTGCTGCTGAGCTTGCCAGGGAATAGAAACTGAAAGCAAACTGGGGCGGTGCGGGTGAGCCGAGCCCGAGGGCACGTTCTGCACAGCTCCTGCTGCCAGAGGTGCTGGAAGGGCTGCACATCTGCCCGGGAGCCACACATCTGCCCCGGAGCCTCACACCTGCTCAGGAGCCTCACACCTGCCCAGGAGCCACACACCTGCCCAGGAGCCATACACCTGCCGGGGCTCCGGGTCCTGCCCGGGGTGCACAGAGCTGTGAGTTCCTTGCCGCACCATGGGGGCGCTGGGAGAGGGATAACGGGGCCATGGGGGTAAAACAGGCTGGTCGTTTAGGAATGTGTGTGTGCTCAAACCTGTGTGAGCATTGCTGGAGGGCAGCGCTGCTGGGAGCCCATTCTGGGCTCGGTCCCGCTCGGATCCGGGAGCCGTGCCCCCACTTTGGAGTGCGGAATCCGTTCTTGGCTGTCGGGACCAGCACAAAGTGCTCTCCTCCAACACAGCTGCCCTCCCTGCTGCTGCCGGGCCTGTCCGGTGCCCTGCCGGCCGGGGACACCTGCACCGGGCACGGGGGGATGCTCGGGGGTACCGGGAGAGGCCGGGACACCTGCACCGGGCACGGGGGGATGCTCGGGGGTACCGGGAGAAGACCCGGGAGATGCCTGGCGGGATGGAGACCGGGCGGGGCGGGACCCGCCGAGAGCCGCCCGGGGCCGGGATTGGCCGGGATCGGCCGGGGCGGGCCGGGGCTGGGCGGGGACCGTGACTACAAAAACGAAAGTTGGCGGCTCAGTGGAGAAACGAAACTTGTCCGGGTGGGAGCCGGCGGAGCGGCGGGACGAGCGGCGCTGCAGGTGCCGGTGCCCGTGCCCGGTCACTCGGTGAGTTGCGCTGCCGGGCCGGTGAGTGGCGGCACGGGGCGCCGGGCCTGGGGGGCTGCGGGGCGGGGGAAGCCGCGGCTCCGGGTCCCGCTGCACCCTCCCGGTGCCCCCGAAGGCGCCTCCGTGTGCCTCGATTTCCCCGGTGAGCTCTGATCCCCCATCTGCCCGGAGCCCTCCGGTGCGTGCACGGGAACTCCCATCTCCTCCCCGGTCACCCGGGACGCCTCTCCCCCGTGTCCCTCCCCGGTTCTCCCCCGTGTCCCTCCCCGGTTATCGCTTCTCCCTGGTTCCCTCCCCGTGTCCCTCCCCGGTTCTTCCCGGTTCCCCCCCCCCGGGCCCTCCCGGCGCCCCCCGGGAGCCGCGCTAGCCCCGCCCCTCACATCACATAACTGATTCATTTGCATACAACCACTCCTTCGCCACGCCATTGGTCCATCCACCCTGTACTTTTGCATATCGCCCGAGGGGGCGGAGAGCCGCCAATCCGCAAGGAGCGAGAGCGGCGTCATTTGCATACAGGCCCCGCCCACGGGGTGGGCCCCGCCCAGGCGGGATCGGCCCGGACGGCGACCGTCGGCCCTGGCCCGGCCCCGGCCCCGGTCCCGGCCCCGCCGCTGGAACTGCGCTCCCGGCCGCGGCCCAGCCCGGCCGAGCAGCCCCAGGCAGGGCTCTGAGGAGCGGAGCCGGGCCCTCGGTGGGAGCACGGGCCCTCAGCGCCGGGGGCGCGCTCGCTGTTCGTGTTGATTTGCCTTCAAGCGCTGTGGTTGCCCTCGCGCTCCCAGCCCGGCTCTCCAGTGTCGCTCCCTGACAATAAAACGGGCAGAGGAGGAAGTGGCGCGGCTGTGGTGCCTCACGCTGTGTGTGCCGGTGTTTGTGTCTGTGCCCCGGGCCTGTCTGTCCCCCTTGGCTGCCGGGCGGGGCCTTCCAGGGCCTGCGGGGCCGCGCTGTGCCCGGGCTTCGGCGGGGCTGGGCTGGGCCGGGCTGACCGGGGGCTGCGCGCACTGACCGGGGGCTGCCTGTGTCACCTCTGGTGCCTGTGCGGCTCTGGGCTCTGCTCTGCCCAGCCCATTCCACTCTGCTCTGGTCCCAAACTCCCCTCCCAATCTCTCATCTCAACCTCCCCTTACCAGAGAAAGTTTTCTTCACTTTGCAGTGACTGTCAGGAGACAGACAAGTGATTCAGTTGGTGACACATCCTACACAGTCTCCACACTCAGGTCTCCAGTGTTGAACTAGTTTATTTTACCAATGAAGTAGTGCTGGTCTTTGTGTTAAAAGACTGGTTGAGTCCTTCTTGACACAGAATTTCCAATTCGCAGCTTGTTGTTAGATTTGGAGCTCACCCCTGAGTTGTGTTTGACAACACACTAATTCTGCCTCGCTGAACAGAGACAGAACCAAGTGCTCAACACAGTTCTGCTGGGGGAAATGTTTCCTAATCCTTTACTTGCTTAAGACCGAATGACACCAGAATGGCTTTTGGTTTGTTGACAGAGAGAATGTGATGCTAGGAAAAAGCACACTAGATCAGAATCAAGCTGCTGCAATCCCCACAGGGTCAGTTCTTAGCAAATCCCGCTACGCTTCAGCACAGCAGGGTTACAAACCTGGCATCCCCAGCTCTGGAATGATGTAGGAAGAACATCCAAAGTAGCTGAGGTTCAAAACTTTTGCTCTCAGAACTGGGCTGGAGGAGCCTGTGAAACCCTTGCAGAAGGCAGAGATCTGCTCTGCTGTCTGAGCCCAGAGTTGCCCTTCCGCAGGTTTTTGAAGGACTAGATAAAGCTGTGAGGATAAAAGGGAGTTTCTCTGCCTTCTTGGAAAGCCCTCAGCTGAGTGGGAGCAGTCACAGTGCCACCCAGGAGGCTGTGCCAGCTGGGAGGTGCCGCTGTCCTGTCCCTGCTCACGCTGGGCTCCAGGCACTGGCACAGGCAGCTGCTTGCCAGCACTGCTGCTGCACTTGTGTCTGCAGCAGCGACAGGGATGGAGCTCTACCTCAGTGCTGGGGTTCCTTAATTATTCTGCATCTGGCAGGGCCCTGGAGAGGGCAGGAGGCTGTAAGGGAGAGTGGTGGCGTGGCTGGTGGGAGTTGAACAGGGAACAACAAACGGCTCCTGTGTGTTTGTGACTTTGGCTGGACAGTTTGCTGTTCCCAGCAGCTGTTTCAGAGCTGTGTTTGGGTTCAGGATGAGGCTCCTGTTGATAACAGCCCGATGGCTCAGCTGCTGCTGAGCAGTGCTTGCACTAAGCCAAGGACTCCTCAGGTTCCCAGGCTGCCCGGGCAGGGAGGAGCTGGCAGGGCAGAGCCAGGGGAGCTGCCCCGGTGCCCAGAGGGATGCTGCAGAGCACAGGGCACGGTGCTGGAGGAGGCACAGGGGGGATCTGGCCGAGGGGTGAGGGCCACTGCTCAGGGGCTGGCTGGGCATGGCTCAGAGGGTGGTGAGCAAGCACCCTGTGCATCACTTGGTCTGGATATTCCTTTATGGTTATTGTAATTTTTCTTTTCTTTTCTGTCCTGTTTAACTGTGTGTATCTGAACCCAAAAGTTTTGCCTTTTTTCTGATTCTCTCCCCCATCCAGGGACTTGGAGTGACCTGGTCCAGTGCAAGGTGCCTCTGCCTGTGGCAGGGGTGGGACGAGATGAGCTTTAAAGTCCCTTCCAACCCAAACCATCCTGTGACCCTGCTGTGGAGTGGGTTTCCAGTTTAACAATTAATTTTCCTCCATTGCAGAGAGAAGAGAGGTGCAGGTCCCTGCAGTCCCTGATGCAGAGGAAGAGGTGAAGGGAGAAGGTGCTGCTGGGCCTCTTTGCACCACCGAAACAAAGGAGACAGAGGGCAAGTCACTGATGGACAGAGCAAGAGCTCTGCCTGACACTGCAGGTGCATCTCCCAGCTCTGCTGAGACACAGAAGGAGGAAGAGGGATCCTCACTGCTGGGGGATGTCACAGCTCCAGAGAACCACACAGAGCCCTCGGCTCAGCGCGGGGCTGGCGACTCTGCTGAGGTGGCGTCTCTGCTGAGGAAGGTGAGGATCCTGCTGGGGAGCAGCTGTGAGTTGTTGCTCTCCTGTGTGAAGTGAGGAGGCCAGGCTGCATCCCCCACATCCCTCTGGCCACGTCGGGGAGCTGCTGCCTGGCTTCCTCCAGGAGAAGCTCGCTGTGTTTGCTGACGCTGTGTGTGCGTGCGGAGCTGCGGTGCCGGGAGGGGGAACCACAAATTGCATGAGTCAGCTGAGACACTGCAGCGCTGCTCTGTGCTCCTGCTGAGCAAGTCTTGAATATTAAACCTACACAGCTCTCAAGAGTTATTTGCATTTCGCTGGCTGGTCTTGTCCCTCCTCTTCCTGATCATTCTCTGTTAGCCCTTACAGGAAGATGTCGGCACTT